AGCAGAGATGGTTTTTGGACTTCGATCGCTGAAGGAAAATCGGTGCACATTGACGTTTAGCCAGGATGTAGATTTTCTGTGGAAGGGAACAAACGAGGGTTCTATAGTTCCCTTGAGTCATCTGCCATTCAATGTATCCCCGGAGTGGATGCTTTCGAGCCCTCATGATCCAAGAGGGAAGAGTGAAGGAGAAGGCAAACCGAGTAACGAGAAGAGGAGATAGCTGATAGCGAAGATAGCAGCTGCCGTCGAGCAATCCGATGAAGTATTATTCGATGAAGAGGAATGGCACGCTAGTTACGACGATCACTCAGCGGCAGCGATTCGCAAAAAAATGGACGACGATGGAATTGGGGGTTGTCACAAAGCGATCTCGTTAGAAGAGGCACTGCGAAGGTGCAGACCTATGAGTGTACCGGAAACAGTTGCAAGTGTCAACGAGACAGGGGAGAATGAAGTCGATGACAGCGAGTCGATTCGATGGAAGTGAACGCCTGCCGGAATTGCGAATATGCAGAAAGGAGATGAAGCGATCGCTCAATTCTTCTACTTGGCGGGAAGGTGCGCTGAGACGATTGATATGCCGTCACTGGGAACGAACATCATTCCGAAGGAGCAGGCCATACAGTATGGACTTGAAGTACTGGCGTACCGGCCATGATTGGATGATTTAAGTATAGAAGATGGAGTACAAGAAGTGGTGTCAGCTAGATGGCTCCAGGCCAACCCTTCTGAGGATAGTTCCTGTGGCGGGACGGAAACGAAATACTTAGCCAGTTCGATTTGATGGAGACTGCCGGAGGACAGCTTGCAGCCGAGAAGATGCTGACCAGATTACGACGAAGATATTGGTCGCCGACGATGAGAACGGACATTGAAAGAAAAGTTCAGTGGTGCCTAAGCCGAGTATTCCAGATGACAAAAGTGGAGAAGCAGGCAGCACAAGGCCCAGCTCTCTTTGATCCTCGGATCAGATTCAGCGCGGTGGCAGTAGATATCTTGGAACCAGTGACAATGGCGACAACTACCAGAGCGAAGCATGTGCTTGTAATGAAGGATCTATTCTAATGTACACAACTGCAGATCCCCTTGCGTCAACGAATTCTGCTGACGTGGCTAGTTAGATGGTGGAGGATTTCGTTGCTGAAGTTTTTAGCTCTCAATGTGCTACATACAGATCAAGGAAAAAGTTGTGGTGGCAAAGTGATCCAAGAGATGTGTCGATTTTTGAGTATTGACAAAAGTCAGGCTCCTCCCAATTGCCGTTTTTGAACTTTGCGTACAATACGACTATCAATGGAAAAACGGGAGCTAGGCCGTTTAGTAAGGTGCATGGACAGGAGCGCCAGTATCCTGTTGATCTGTTCTACAAAAAAAACCTCATGACGAACTGATGATAAAGGATGGGTTTGCCAAATGGCCAGACGAACAGTTCCGAGACGCACATAGCAGTGCAAGAGAAATCTCGGAACAGACCAGCGTCGACAAAAGAGCTGTTAGTGGGAGAAAATTCAGGGGGGAACCCTATACGAGTGTTTTCAAAGTCTGGGTGTGGTAAAAGGAACCACAAATGTCAAAGAAGCCCTTTGGACCGTGGGAAGGACCATATGTTTTGATGGCCAGGATGTCTGAAGTCAATTACCAGGTGTCAAACGTGTCCATACCAAATAAGGTGAAGTTTCTGCATTTTAACATGTTGAAACTATGTTGAGGAGACTGTGCGATCAGACAAAACCATTGCAAGGAAGCGACCGACACCCTTACGGTCAGCTACTTTCCTTGACAATTCGGAGATGAATGTCGAAAACGAGGTGTTTTGGGCGAACAATCGGGATGAATTCAATCATGATCCAGGCCCAAGGCGAGAATCAGTGGGAATTTTGTCGCTAAGAAATTGAGTAATGGTGGAGCCATTAGTTAGCCCTCCTGGGCGAAACAAAGACTCGTGAAGGCAGAGTGACGTGATGGAAACATACGACGCAACTTTGATTGAATAGAGAAGAGAAGAAGAGCCCGCAAAGCTTCTCAGTGCAGCTGAAGGTAGACCTCCGGATGAGCCGGCGATGGTTGAACAAATTGGAACTCCTGATTTATGTAGACCAGTTCGCGTAAGATCGACGAAATTCTTAGTTAAAACAAGTCTTTTGAGAAAATTTGTCACCCAGCTCATCGATGCTTGTTTAATATCTAAGTGCGATCTCACCTCAGAGTATTGCGTTAGTGTTGAACTTAAGCTGCTTTTTTTAAAAAATAGATTGGGTCGTACCGCGAGGAGTAAAGTTATTAGCAGTCAAGTCCCCTAGTTAGGTTTTTTCTAACAAATAGTGCGTACTAGTCGAAATTGATTAAGCATAATGGGACTGACTGACGGGTCCGCGATTAAGTTTTAGGAAAAATAAATTGGAAACTAGGAAAATTATTAAGATTAGTCATTAGAGTGATGATTAAGTTGTGGACTGGTTCTTGGCAACAACAGAGCAACAGAGAAAAGGGACGGTTGCTTTCAGAGACGGTCATGCTAAGCAATCAAAAGTATGTATGTTAATAGCAGCTAGATATAATAAATTGAGTTTATGATAGGTTAAAGTTTTAGATAGGTTTTTTTAAAATACTAGGTTGAAAGTAACTTAAACTTTGTCATTAGCATTATTCGGGAGAATAATGGTCTAGAAGTCAAGACTGTAGAATTGGTGATTCTTCTGTATTACATGCCATAGAAACCTAAGCGTAAGGTTGATTAGTCATTAAGTTAAGTGGTACAGCAAACAAGTGGTCCAATTCAAAATAGTTGAATCTGCGAAGATTTTGTCCCTCCTATGCCAGAAAGTAAAATTTGACAAAATCGGCGAGCCCCTCATCGAATCGGAACTACGGAAGCTATCTTTATGAAATTCAGAGCAGCATTATTTGACATGATATGACCCGGGCATACGAAAAATGGGACTCCTCAGACCGTTTTGGGGCAAGTAATAACGGTCCCGGAAGTGTAAATGGCCCTATCAGAACTCGGAAACTAGCGGCGGAAGTGGGCTCAAGTTTTAATAATGTAGGCCTAGGTGAGGGAAGCTTAAGTTTGAAACTCAGACCCCTAGGACCCCTACTTCCGGTTTTATGCCCAAACTAAACAAAAACCTACGCCGAAGTCGTTTCTCGACCTGCAATGAACGCAGGGAGCTGAAACTTGGAGGGATGATAGGCAGTGGCAAGATACATCTTGTGTTATAATTTGAACCATTTCCAACATAAGTTTGTAAGCTTTTAACACTTGAAAAAACACCTTAAAAAACATCCTCTTCCAGCTTAGGATAATTTGGAAAGTTTTACTGGGATGTGTAAAGCTTGGTAGTTAGGACCACCATGGGGTTCTGAAACCAAATATGAAGTTTGACCACGGATGACCCCTGCGTGACCTTAAGTTCACCTTTTTGCGTTATGAACCCAAAGTTGAAAAGAAAACCCCGGGATTAGCAGCGGAAATTGGCGTATTTCCCGGCTCCAATCCTTGGAAATGAGAATTGGTCATCTTTCTATAAATTGGGAGAAAACTTGTAAATTGGGAACTGGAGCAGAAGATGATAGCGATATAGCTTTTACATTGCAACCCTGGAGTAGTAGAGTTTATTCAAAGTGGACTTTGTAAAAATTGGGTTCAGTTTAGCTTGGCAATTGATCTATAAACAACAATTCAACTAGAAAATAGATCCCAAAGGAAACTGATAGTAATAGGGTCGCATCATGAGAATTAAGTCTCCCTAATAGTATGAACGGACTGTGAATTTACTTGGCTTCCCGGAGGTGACATTTTGGTTTAATTTGGCCCCTAATAGACGAAGTACGTTCCCTTATAGCTAAGACGCGTCATTGGAATAAAGTACAGATAGAAATATTAGATGCCTGAAGTGAATTAGCTACCCATGAAAAGGGTCTCCTCTACCCTTGGGAGGTCAGAGCATAAACGGGATAATTAAAACAAAAGTCTTGAGAGGACCACTGAGTAAACATAACGTGGTTTAGAGGTTGAGTTGAGCTCGAGGGCTGAAGTTCACGGAGATCAGGAATTAATTGATTAGAATCGTATGACATTTATTTGCTTGGTCAATTGTGACACCTACCGCTTACCTGGTATCTAATAAGCGTGAAAAATTGATACAAGAAACCGAACTTGGCACGTGGCAGAGTTGACATTGGGAGGGACGTATTCTTAAAACATGTGCAGACGGGTGATTTAAGCGGATGTCAGGACTGATAGGGAATGACGTGACTTAACTAAAACTTAGTCTAAAGAAAGATAAGAATTTGGAGGGTACCGGAGAGCCTTTAAGTAAGAGTCAGAGCAATTGATACTGAGATAGAGTATAGTTCGTTTTCAGTTAGTTAGAGAAAACAATTATTGCTAGTTAGTCGAGTAGTTGGTTCTCGGAGTAAGAGAACAATTATAGTAGAAACAGTAAATACGTGGTGGTTCTCATCAAAGTGAGAAAGTATTCTCTAAAGAGAGAGAATCGTTTGGAGGAGTTGGTGGAAGTTAAATTGCAATTGTGCTGATAAATCCTTTTGATTTGATTATGAATACAGCGGATAAATAAAGAATTGAAGAGGCACTTCAACCGAGAGGGTTCCTTGTGGACTTGCGTCCTCCGTGCCTTGCTACTGCGATAGACTCGCTATCTCTTGAAATCACGCTACCCAATAAGTCCATCGCGACAGTAACTCTAGCAAAACAGTTATGCCAACAGTCAGATACAAAAAGGAACAAAGGAATTGATAAACATCCTTGAATACAGAATTTTTGAATCTTAGCTTTTGCGAAGAAGTATAATCTGAAATACAATTTGACGCAAATTACCATTTTGAAATTACAAAATGTCTGAATAATTGTCTCGTTCGGAAGTTACGGGGATGTTTGTTGGTGTGTTGGTGAAGCTTGAAGTAGTTAGAGTGTGTGACAGGAGATCTGATTAACTTGTTGTGTGTTTTCATAATTGTGTTGTTGTGTTCAGGTGTGGCTCTTCGAAGTGTGACTGTCCATACCACTACCTCAAACAGGGAAGACTCTGCTGCGCCAAGAAGACCTCATCCACCAACAACAACAGACACAACAACCGCCATAATCACAACCACAATAGCACTAGAGCCACCAGGAGTCTCAATGCGCCCCTCATCATACAATGACCCTGTGACAGGGTTACAGTCCGCAAGTTGAAAGATCGCAGCTAACATCAACATGTCCACTAGAGACTGTTTTCTTCTCTGAATCTCTCTACTTGTGCTCGTGTTTGTGCCCTTTTGCTTTTTCAACTGTACTGATCTGTTTGTTTGTTTTGTTTGTTTGTTTGTTCATTCCATTGGCTTTAATTCACTCTTTCTTCACATCATTTTTCTCCTTCTCTCTCCTCATTGGCGAGCAGTTCTGGAAACTCAACTATTCTTGTGATGTAGTTGTAGTTGAAATAGTTTTTCAAAGGCCAATTGGCCTGCTGCGGATAACAGTTAAAGAGAAAAACGAGCTGAAAAGAAGCAATCCTCGAACAACACGTTAAGTATACGAAATGTGTTCTTGTCTTTCTACCTAAGAACATAAGGTGCATCTTTTTCAAAACAATTTATTTACTTTTCATGCTGAAAAAACGAATAGCTTGAAGATTGAAGCTATATGTCTATGTGGAAAAAGCCTTGAGAGAATATTGTTATCTCTCAGACTAGCATGAGGTAATTTTAAGAGCTGAAATATAGGTTAATTTGAGAAAGAAAACGGTTAATTCAAATTTACTTGTGCTTTTGAAAGTTACAATAAAATTTTGAAAATGCTCTAGCATAACATTTAACCATCCTGCTGAAAGTAAGTTTAGCTTATCAAGTACAGAATTAAGAGTTTCTGGACTAACGATTTGAAAGAGTTGATTGGACTGAATAATGCGCCAATTTAAAAAAATCAACACGAAATCTGGTAGTTTTAGTTAGTCAGATTTCATTTTGTAATCTGCTCGCTGACAGCTGGAGACACAAAAATGCAAAAATATTGCTTCGTTGCATTCAGATTTGAATATCCGCAGTGTGAAAGCTCATTATAGTCCTGTTGATTATGTGTGTAGCTTAGTGTGGTAGTGCGATGTAACTTTTTCTCCAATCTTTACCGATTTCTCGCTCGCGTTTGCGAAGTGTCAATTTCACCTCTGTGTAGATTTTCGTAGCACTTATTAGAGGATAAAAGTTGTTTGTCCGAAGTAAGTCTTTTGAACTTATTCGACGCAAGTGAAGTTTTCGCTTTTTCGACAGCTTCACGACTTTTGCCTCAATTTCTGTCCGCTGAATTAGAGGCGATGTTTTTTGGGAAAGCCAATAGAATGGGAGTTTAATTCTAGTTCGGTAATGTATTTTAAGGCGAAAACTCGCTTGAACTAGTATATACTTATGTTCCATATGATTCTCATTTCTGAAATCTGCTTTTTTACTCCCACAGATATAAATTTGAAGTTGAAAAAACTATATATGTTCGTTGTAATAATTACACTTGCGAAGCAAGGTGTTATAGTACGAACTTTCTTTTTTTCCAACCAACTTTTTTTTCCAACCGAACTTTCTTTTTTTTCCTACAAGTCGCAAATAATGTTGCAAATTTTGTTGGGACTAAGTCGCAATTATTGTTGCAGCTTAAAGCAACAATATTTGCTGCGTCGAATTTGCTGCATCGAAGTGGCATTAAGATATTTTGTTGCACTTTTGATATTTAGTTGATCCTTTACAGATTATTGATAACATATGCTTTGACATTCGAATAGTTATAAGTTTACACAGTTGATGCATTTCTAATTCATCAAGTGAACCGAAGAAAGCTAATGTTTCAAACAACATAACAATAGTAAAATCTCGATTTCAGAAGTTATTTAACAATATATCTTGCATTTTTTTGAAATACATAATTTATGCATTATGTGGCTTTATGATATGCGATTTTTTACATATAAAATTGTATCTTTTATTTAATGCTACTTTTGCTGCATCGAGTGGGCAATTTCTTAGCTTATGTAGCTGCATTTTTGGTGGCAAGTTTTTGAGGATTTTAAGCATCCTTGGCTGAATGGTTAGTGCGTGAGACTAACATTTACTAGGTCGGAGACTTTTGCTAATTCGAGTTTTTGCTAAGCATTGAGTTTTTGCAAATTCGAGGCTTATTTCTACTTTTGTCACTTGATAGCTGCTTTTTGCTCGTGTTCTGGTAAGTGTTTGCGAAGCGCAGCTTCGACTCTGTGAAAATTAGCATGGTGAACAAACTAACTATTGTGAACTTAATTTTTCTTCATACTTTACATAGTATCATCATGTATATAGTCAAATTCACACGTAAAACAACCACGAAAATTGAAAACTCGAAATATAGAGGGATATTGGAAAAAAATCTCAAATCTTCGTTGAACTTTTAAGTTTTTTAGGATCAAATCGGAATGTATACTTTTCATGGTATTTTTTTGTGTAACAAAATCAGTTGACTCATCAGAGTGTGTGGCAAATAGACTTATTGTGGACAGGTCTGCAATTCAAATTCCTATTTTTATAACGCTGGAATATAGACTTGTTTCGAGTTAATAATTTCACACTCGCATGAATAGCTTGACTTATTACATTAGCGGTGGTAGACTTTTTCCCGTGCAAAAGAACTTTGATAACAGGTTTTCGTAATCATTTGCGGTAAAAAAGACAAAATTTTTCGTAAATTTTTCCTTGTTGGAATTCGTCAGCTTCGTTTCCTTTTTTTTGCAGCCAAACTATTTTGCTTGTTTGAATGCTTTTTATTGAGGGTTGAACGATAAGTAATTTTTGGATTGTGAACCTCTTCAAGCGTTGTGGATTCGAACGTGAACTTCAGCAAAGTTATTTATTGACCAGTTTTTTAAAATTATTTTTGTCAGTTTAATGCTCACTTTTTTAAATTTGAAAATTGCCTGCTTATAGTTCGAAAAATCTAAGTATTTTTTGAATTGTTCGCAAAAAAGCAGTATTTGGTTATTGACCTCTGGCTTTTAACAGTTTTTAAATTTTTTTCTGTCAGTAATTCTGTTATGAGAATATCATTTTCTATAAAGACAATTTTGTGCGGTGATATCGAAATCCAGTTTTCCTGGGTGGAAAAAAGCAAAGATTTGCCTCAAAATTTTGATTTGAAATAATCATTCACTATCTTTATTTTTACACACGCCAACTAGCGAGCAAATTGTGTATTAGTATGGCTCTTTTTTCCCCAACCTAACTCGTTGATAAAACTGCCCCTTAACATTTGTTCTCTGATTTGTTTATGTCTATTGTTTGGCGGTCGGTAAGCGTCTGTGGCTAAAAGGGAAGGACTTGAGACTCCTTATCTCGAAATTGCTGTTTCGAATCCGACTCATAGCAAAGTTTTATTAATTTGAGGCTTGTTTCTATTTTTTCTTATTTCACTTGATTGAGCCGCTAGTGTTTACGAAGCGCAGCTTTGCTTCTGTTATCCTTACAAACAGCAAGCGTATTGCAATCGGGTACTAGAGTGTTTATCCGTAAGTAACTGTCTTCAGTCTTCATCTCCTGGTCTCATTCATTTTCTAGTCCTCTCTGTTGATGCACATATTTTGCTCATATAAGCCTTTGAAATATCCCTCCATTTCGAAGTTTGCTTTCTATGTTGGTTGCAATTTGATGAGCAATAAGTTTCGTTGTGCGTGTGTGGGTTTTGTTTTAAGTTACTTTCTCATTTTTTTGAAATCCTTTCCCGGCTTGAAGGTTACTGATCAGGTATTGTCAACTTTTCTTACTGCATGAGATCGGTAAAAATCTGCTCCCAATTTTTCGAATGCTTAAAATCAACCCCACTTGCACCTCAAAAAAATTTAGTAAATTAAAAATTAAAAAATTCGATTTTTCGTTGAAGTTTTGTGTTTTTTTTTCAGCGGTAACGTCACTCGAAGTCAAATTTTTGTTAAGTCTGGGGCATATTGATACTCTAATCTGATACTATGATACTCTAATATTGATACTGTTAAGTCTGGGACATATTGATACTCAATATTTGTTGTGTCGTAAATTTGGCTCAAAATTTTTCTTAACAATAGCATTGTTTTCGGCTCAACGAGAGTTTACCAAACTTTTGTTGGCTTAGGTGCCGCTCGGAAAAGGCTACTGATTATTTATTTAACGCTGGCAATTTTTTTGGTATACTTGTTTTTCTCAAATTGAAAGTTATCGGAGAGTAAATTATGAATTTTTTGTAAGTTTGGTTTATCGAATTTTTTTGCTTATGGCCTTTGTGTCTTTTTTGGCTGCTAGCTTGCAATGCCATGTTTGCGTGGTATCTCAGGTGGCATGCACCTCAAGTGCCTTAAACGTTTGCGGCCAGTTCTTATTAGTTAAGTCGCTTAAATTTGCCTCATTTCAAGGGAAATGATACTTTTCTTTCATGTGTGTGCTGGGGGTAACAAAACTTGAAAACATTGTTTCGAATAAGTATATTTTGCTGCAATGATAATTTTTGGCTTTCTGGCTTTGTCTAATTTCTTTTGTGTGTTTATCAATGTAAAAATTTGCTTTTTCTTGAATATCACTTTACACAACTGCTCGTGTTATATCAGATTCATTTCTTCCACGTAATGCGCATAAATTAGTGCCAAACAAATTGGCACTATCAAATTATTAGCAAGTGTTCTATCCGCATTAATAGTGACTGGTATTTGGAAAACAGCATGGACATATGACTCAATTTTCAAAACATTACACTAATTTAGACACAGAAAACTTCATAACTTCAAATACTTCATATTTCAAAAAATACATTTGTAATTTAGTAATTTCTAACAACCTCAACAAAAATTCAAGGTTTCCCGTTGTCAAGAAAAACAGGTTTGAAGTTTCAAGTCTAATTTGGAGCAAGTAAAGCGAGTTTTTGCTTTACTCGCTCGAATTTGGACTCGTGGTGACCTTTTATTCATTATATGTGATTTGATTGAAGACTTGATAGCAAGTGTCGTGTCGTGTACAGTAAATTTAACAACTGAAATAGGTCTGTCGTAAAAACATTTAGGATTTTTTTCATGATTTCAAACAAAACCAAGGATTTTTTTTTGTATTATAATTTCTTGCCTTGACCGAGACTTTTTTTATGGAAAGAGTTTTCCAGGTGATTAAGGGAATCCTGACCAACTACCACACTGGCAAATAATTTAGCACTACTACAGCTAAACGACCAGCGTCGTTCAAAGCCGATTTGTGTTTTATGTATAGTACCTTGTCTTGTTTACTTAATCCTTTTTTATTCTGATCAGGGGCGGATTTAGGGGGGAAGCGGGGGGTGGGAGTGGACAACGATTTTTTTTGTCAAAATTTTTCAAAAAGTGCCCAAAAACGGCTTTTTGGACTCTTTTTTTTTCAAAAATTTGCCTGTCGCGCAGAAAATTCAGCCAAAATAGGGGCAAAACAGTGCTTTAGGAGAGCTGTAAAAATCAATTTGGTCGACCTAAAAAAAGGTCGTCAAATTTATTTTTAGAATGTTTTTTGAAAATCCGCCCCCCCCCCCCTCGAGAAAATCCTAGATCCGCCCCTGATTCTGATGGACATTATCAGATCGTGAATGCTTTTCGATAGCAAAAAGCTGTTATCCTTCTTTGATATTTTCCTATCAAGACTCGGCAAAAAGTCATGTGGTAGTTATTTTCATGTGTTAGTTAGTTTTTGCCTTGAAGTTAATGTCGTGGCCTGTAACCTTGACAAGTTGAAACAAATTAATGTTCCATCTCTCTGAGGTTGTTGTATTTTCTGCTCTTTACGCTAACGTAAAATTGAGCTTAAGTAATGCTGTGTGTCGTGTGTGGTTGTTTACTTCTCATAAGTTGCACTATAATTAAAGACAAAGTTGCAGTCGACTCTTGCTGATCAGCAAAACTTGATTATTACAGAGTGTAATTTAGGTAAAATCCAGTTGACATTGGAAAAGGGTATTGCAATCGGGTACTAAACTTTTTTTCCGCAAATAACTTTCTTTCACAGGAGTCAGGGACTTAACGTTTCCTAAGGTATCCTGCTGGAGGTAACGAATTAATCTGGAGTTAACAAATACGCCTGGGAAGGCAAAAGTCTGGGTTCGTATCTGAACAGGACCTGTTTTTTTTTCAATTTTGTTTCATTTTTGTCTTTTTCGGCTCTATCGGTTGTGGCTTGTTTTATCTCGACTTAGTGATCTCTAATTGCCTCGTTGGTTGACCAAAAAGCTTTTGTGTGCGTTTATGTTTGGTGAAAGGGGACTCAATTTTTAAAAAGTGTTTAAATTTTTTTTCGTCATGAACGGTTTCTGCTGAGACATTTTCGGTTTTGTTACCGCTTGGTTAGTTTTGTTCCGATGCTTGTTTTGAATTCATTTGTATGGGCTTGTTTTTCGCAAATCTATTTTCATTCATTTTGATTGATTTACTTGTATTTGTACGTATAGTTATAAAATAACGTTTATATTTTGTTTGCTTATGATTTTTCGCATTTATGGTTGTCTATTAAGCTTAGTTTCCGAATGGTGTATACCACCCTGCATTCAATACAAATATGGCTTCCGTGGATACTATTTGGGCTCTATGTGTATTTTTTCCAAAAAGATTTTGCCGAACAATTCTGGCTAAATTTCTGCTGATCAGCTATTAACTTCAATTTTTCAGCTTTTTTACCTATTAATTTTTACTGCAAATTTCCGATATTTTTGATGAGATCGATAAAACTTTCGCCTCAATTTTAAATTTTTGAATGCTGAAATTTAACCCTCATGGATTTCTTTAGAAAGTTTATATTTTTTCTTTTCTTTCAACAATAGCAACGATTGAAGTTCTCTCTGATAGTTTTTTTTTGCTGTTTTAATCCTATCCTTGTTGTATGGCAAGTGGTGCGAAGCCCAGCTTCGCCCCTGTGTAGATAATTAACTTGACCATTTTCCAAAGTCATCATTAGCTACCCTGAACGGTAATAAATCTTAATTCAGTTTTTCTCTTTGAGAAACTTTTGGCACAATAGAACAACAAAAGCAACAAAAAGTTTTTATTAAAAGCATCGGCTGAAATATGGTTGAATGAAAAATCCTATAATATTTTTTGACTTAGCAAATTTCTTTAGCAATTGAAATTTAAAATGTGAAGATGGTACCGGATTTTTAGTGAAAAACGGGAAAGTTGCTGAAATGGCTCTAAAACCATGAGAAAAAAAACGTCTAAATTTTCACGATTGAACCAAAACTTGGACGAGTTTTTTTTGTGCTGTCAGCTTCATTGGATTTGATTAGATGGCAGCCTACGAAATTTTTCTGATTAGTCTGCAGATGTTTTGCAATATCAAACACTTTCTTTGTGGCCATTCGTATGTAAAATGAAGTGATGCAGACAGTAGCCTGCAAAAACTAACTGAAGTTCCAAGTGTTTTGATAGAAACGTCCTTTGAAAAATAAATGGCTACTCTAGTTTTTATATGAACAAGAGTCGTTTGATTGACTTTCAATTTGGATTTATTCACGCAAAAGATAATTGTTCAGTTTTCTGTGAAAATCAGTTCGGTCTTATTTTTCGTCAAAGCAAAATATGGTTGATCCGAAAAAAAGTGTTTTTTTTTTGTGAATGAAAAGTTTTTAATTGGTGATGATTCTACTGTAAATTTGACTAATTGCAACGTCGCTATGAACAGAATCACCTTTCGTTTATAAAGGTTTAGAATTGTACGCTACGATAGTTTATATGCTCAGTAGAGAGATTGTTAGCCGAACATGAAGGATTCGAGACAAACGAAGTTAAGCGAAATTTCAGGTTTCAACGTCCTCATCGATACTTTCCGAAACACCGAAGCTTAAGTCTTTATATAAGTGTAGCAACATCCTCGACCCGCACATGCCCCTACCTAGCACTACTAAGGAGTTGCAAGCAGTCGTATCGCTAGATGTCAACCTCCCGGAGATCTCAAAAATTTCACTAAACTCCATGTATTAAGATAAGGGATAAAATACTCTCCGTGCCCCCCGTGCAAAATGATCCAGAATCCGAAAAGTCCAACGCGGATCACCTTCTTAGCTCCCATCGGACACGTGTGCGAAGTCGGCTCATTAGGAGGCGATGACTTTACCAGGTTTCGAAAAAACCACCTGTTGCCCATGTATTAACCTTAAGTATAAACGAATTTCATGTCACCCACCAACACTGTGAACAAATTTCGAAGTTTTTCGGCCGGCCATCCTCATGACTCTATTATAGGACACATGCAACCGAGGAAGACCAACAGATTAATACGTCCAGATATAAAGCGCTGACAAATGCCCCAAGTAAATAGTCCTCATCCTGGACTTCCGGATATGATTTATCGGCCCCCAATGGACGCATGGAGTCAAAACCTTGGGAGATGATAGATACTGGTAAAATACGTCGTATGTCTTAGGTTAAACCAAATCTAAGTTTGGAGTCAAAAGTTATGAGCTGTTGGGAAAAATACCCCTTAAACCGGAAGTGGGCAATTTACGCAAATTAATAAGCGAGGGCTATTGATTTTATGGCGGCATTAGACACTAAAACTCAATTCCGAACAAAAAACCTCCAGCGACCCGAACCCCTCTGACGACCTCTTTCGTTGTTAATAGCGCTACCTTGGGAAAAGTGATAATGGACCTCAGGAATGAGATAACTTGGGAAGTATTAATGGGATTTGGATGGAACTTGGTTATTAGTAGCCCCATCAAAGTCTAAACCCGAATGAGAAAGATTAAACTCAGTTGACCCCGGGTGACCTTCAAATAACTTTTCAGCGTATAAGATCAAATTGCTTAGAAAACCCCGAGGATTAACACCGGAAAGTGGCGTTTTACCCAGCCCCAACCCTTGGAAAAGGTAACTGGTCATCTAACTTACATTTTGGTCGGTACTTGTCTGTAGGGAACTGAAGCAGAAGCTGAAACAGGTGTAGCTTTTACGTGGCAACTTTGAAGTAGTGGATTAAATGAAATGGACTTGGCAAACATTGGGTTTAATTTAGCTTGGCGAAAGAGCTATTAATAGAAACTCAGTCAGACTAAAGAAACGTAGTCTGAGAGGGAATTGGCACTAATAGAAGCGTAGCATGGGAAGCAAATTTTCTAACTAACATGAACGGAGAGGATATTTACTTTGCTCCCCGGAGATGACTTTTTGTCACAATTCGATCCCTAATAAACAAGTTAAGCTCACAACATATTAGAAGGTCGGGATTGGAATAAAATATAGATCAGAGTTTCAGATGCAGCAAGCTACCCTTGAAAAGAATCTTACCCTACCCCCGGGAGGTCGGAATGTTAATGGAATGATTCAATGAAAACCTTGAGAGATTGGCTCATTAAAGACCAATTTGCCGACTAAGCTTTTTAACTTTTAGGTCTCTAAAAAGTCTTCGATGCAGTTAACTTGTCAATGTTTCTCAAAAATATGAATTGTGGACTCAGAAGAATTGTCTTAAAATTCTAAAAGGCTATTTCATTTTAAAGACCGTTTCTATTGTGTTGAAATTTTAAGTTAATTTGCTTTTAAGTTAATGATCGCAAAGTTATGGTTGTAAATTATGCTGATTAGATTCTTTGTTGTCGGATTTTCAATGAAAATTGCTAGAATGAAATGGAAAACTTCTCAAACTTCATGTCAAAAATTAAGTCGACTATAAATCATAAAAAAACCACGAAGTTTTCAATTTAACGAAACAAGCCATCGATAATCTACATAAAAAAAGGTTGAAGTACAGAAAAATGAATTTGTTCAAGTACCTATGTTGACGGAAGTCTTCTGGTCTAATCCAAGTTGAAATTTAATTGTTTTTCGTTTACAAATCTAAAGCTTACCATTCCTTTACCTTGAATCGAGTGATCTGCAAGGGGATGCTAGTCAATAGTTTCTCTGTAATGTTTTTAAGTGGTGGCATCGAATACAGTTAAGGATCAAGTTCAGTTGTAGCTCATCTCTAAAGGCATGATGTTAGTGTGTTGCCTTTTCAGTTTATTTTGCAATGAGTTGTGAAATGAAACACGATTTGCTCAGCAATCACAGTCGACATCTCTCAAAAAACAACAACATCAACACTAATTCTACTTCAGCTACTCATCTTTTCTCTCTGCCGACTAATCTGATACAGGAACAATCTCTACTTGACAATCTCCCCTCTCCATTTTTACATGTAGAAGCTACTTGATGTCCTGAAAAATCCTTCAAAGCTCAAATTTGGTCGATTAATTGGAAGCAGTAGTAAGGGTAGGGATAGGGGGGTAGTTAAGTGGATGTCTGATGCAGTTCATCTGTCAACTTCTCATCAACTGCAGAAGAAGATGTCATCCGGCGAGAGACGACAGATTGTTCAACTACACTCTCTGCATCTCAGACATTCTACAGCTGAGAAGTTGTTGCAAATATTCACTACAAGTCGTCAACAACTCACAGCTCCAGTTTCCATTTCTAGGTACAATAGAATGCTAGTTGAGTTGGGTTCCTCTTTAGAGCGCTCTCTGTTGTGATTTGAACGACTTTAAAAAAGTTTTGAAAAACGTTCTCCAGTTTTTAGCTGAAACTTTTTATACTCATTTTTTCTACAAAAATTGTTTTCCAATTGGGTTATTTTACTGTGACTGTAGAATATGCTTAGGGTGTACTGTTTCATTCAGATCTTTTTTTATCACTCCACGCAGAAAAACAACTCTCATTTGAAAAAAACTTTCTTTCTGTACTTTTTGAGACTATGGTCGGAACATTCTGTGCTGTCTTGTACAAAAACTGGCTATCCTTATTTGATTGTTATTTTTATCCTTATTGCGGGACCCTATTTTCAAACTTGCTTTTTCTGAAGAGGCTTCCAAATATAATAGATGTACTATTTTTAGCGTCGCAAAAGTTACAATCGGAAATGGAAAGTAGAAACAATTTAAATTTTCTCAATTTTATGAGGCGGAAAACTTTGTGGAAATTCAGTTCTATGAAGATCGGACTGCAAATTTTACGAGTGGATGGTGGGAAAAGTTCATTCGATGTTCTTTCATTTTTCCACCAGTTTGAGAGTTTGTTCTGGAAAAGCGTGACTGATTTAGTGTTGGTCGTTCCCCCCAACTCCACGTCCTCAATCAACAATCTATGTCAGAACTTGTCTCGATCTATGTTCAGAAAAGACACACGCATGCAATTATGCTTTCAACAGTCAGTCTCAAATGTCCAGCACATTTCTACTCATCATATTACTGCAATTTATCTAGTCTATCATGTTATGCAGTGTTTAAAACACACAGATTTGCATTCATTGACCAAGTTCACCAACATAAATAATCTCTGTTTAACTAGAACTGTTTTGCATTTGGACCAAATAGCACAGTTTCCCAGCCTCCAGAAATTGTCCATTACGAGTTTGGAAATTCCGGATTTCGAAAATGAAGACACGTTTTCAAATGGCAGCTATAAAAAGTATCCAAGTGTCACAGATTTGTGCTTGAACTGTCAAAAAGTGGAAAACATCCGAAAACTGCCAGAAATCATCAACAAAAGTTTCCATAATTTGGTGTACTTTCATTTTTATTACATCTTCAGCGAACCAGTTGCCAGTTTGCAGTTTGAAACACTGCCTGTACTTTGCAATACTCTGAGTGTCCCATCGCATGCATTAAGTCATTTCGTCAGTTGTGAAAGAATTAAGAACTTGAAAATCGAAGTCACTTGCGAGAAACTGTTTGTCCCGATTTTCACCCAATGTTTCTTTTCAACGTTCAAGTTTTCCCTTTCTGTGTTGAATTTGGTGTTCAGCTATCGCTCTGTTGAACTGAAACAAGTTGTGCTCTGTGTTTCTGACGTTCTGAAGCTGCAAACTTACTTGGAAGTGTTGAGTGTGCGCACAAATAACTTATTCGTCATGGATAATGATGGAGACGAAAACATGGAAAAAATTTGGGAAAAATTCCACAAAATTGCAGAAAACCACTCTGTGAAATTTATCATATTGGGAAGATTAGTTGCAGAGTTGAAATGTAGTTTAAACGGAGAGATTATTCGAAAGTTGGATTCACTGGATCAACTTTACTGTTGGAGTTTGAGGACCAGAAACAACAGAGTAATCCCAATAGAGTCACAATGTATTTTGAGTGCATTAGCTGCACTGCAGACAATGAGATAGATTGAATCAGATCATTTTGTGTGCAGCACTTTGTTCCAATAGAAGACATTTTGTACAGCCATTTTTAAAAGTGAAACAAATTGTTTATAGTTTGTTAATTCTAGTTCATTTATCAGTCAACAGATTCGTTATTTTCCAGATAGAGAAAAGTTCTTAGCTTTTTCAGAAAAAAGACGCAAAAAATGGCTTCCTTTGGATACGCAAGGCTATTCATATCGGGTACTAGACCTTTTCCCGTAATTAATTTTGTTCACAGGACTCTGCCCCTATCTGTTGCAAATAGTAAGCATGTTTTGATTTTGATATTATTTCAAATGCCCTTCCTTAGTGGCCTCATATTGCGCTGTTTAATGAGCAAAACTTTTTGTGTGCGTTTGTGTTTTGAGGTAGAGGGGAACTTGAAATTTTAAAGTAGTTTTCATTTTTTTTCGGATTTGTTTTTCGGCTCAATGTTTCGGCCCAATTTATATCGCCTAAGTGGCCTCATATTGCGCGTTTTGATGAGCAAAACTTTTTTGTGTGTGTTTTGGGGGAGAGGTAAACTTAGATTTTTTTGTTAGGTTCAAATTTGTTTGAAATTTTTTCAGCTTGATTGTTTTTGCTCAGAATTTTCCTCTATGGTACTGTGTGGTAAGTTTTCTTCCGATTGTAATTTCGCTTTTCATTGTCCGGGAATGATTTTTTTTTGTTTCAAAACTATCTTTGCACATTGTGATAGATCTGTTTGCATGTATAGTTATATTTTTTCGATTACTAAATGGGGGCAGTACATGGTTTTTTATCATTTCTGTTTTCCCGAAATATTTCGGTCGAATATCAGCTTATTGGCTTTAATTCCTTCGCCTTGTTTACCAATATTTTGTTTCTAACTTTTCCCGCTATTATTCATGAACTTGCGGCAAGTTTTCGAATGCGCGAATTCAACACCAAGAGAATCTCTTGAAACCTTGTCGTTGTTATTGTTAATTGTTTCAAATGTAACATAGTTCCTGGATTGTTCCTGTATTTGTTGAATTGCAAGTGGTTTGAAGCAATTGGGTGTGTTGGTGGTTGGCTGGTTTTCAGATAAAATTCGAAAGTTTTGTCGAGCTTTTTTTGGTTCGAAGGAATTGGTTTTCTTGGCTCCCCCAAATTACTACAGAGGCGCTATTCCGACAAAATTTTCTGTGCAGTAGGCAAATTAAAAAAAAAAACTGGCCAAACATGATGTTTTTAGGCACTTTTTGAAAAATTTGGACTTGAAAATTGGAGAGTGCTTTCAAATTTTATGGACAGATAGCCAAAATGGATCTGTCTAAATAAAACAAAGGGATTTTACATCATGAGTAATCAAACATTCAAAAACAAATACTACAGTTTGCAGTTTGGCTCGTGATAGGACAGTCAGAAAGCCAATGAGAGGGTTGAATTTAAGACATCAGTTCAATTAATAAAAATCTAAATGAAAAGAGTCTTTTTATAAATAAAAAAACTTAAATATAGCGCGATCTGTTTTAATTTAAATAATCTTTATCAAAATTAAGCCAGTAGGTTAGAGAGGTGACGAGATTATATGCCAGAAGCTTCGACAAGATTTATTAGGTTACGGCCTATTTATATGACCTTAGTGGCCTCATTTTGCACCGTTTGGTGAGCAATTTTTTTCCTTGCCTTTTTGTGTTTTGAGAAAAAGGGGAACTTAAATTTTTTATTGGGTTCAAATTATTTTTGAAAGTGTTGTCAGCTTGAAGGGTTTTTGCTAAGATTTTGGGACTTTGTTACCGCTTGATGAGTTTTCTTCCGATGCTAGTTTCGCATTCTATTGTCTGGCCATGTTTTTTTCAAAACTTTTTATACATTTTGATTTTTCTGTTTGCATGTATAATTAAAGACAATGAGATAGATTGAATCAAATCATTTTACGTGCTGCACCATGTTCAAATTGTACTTCAATTATCAGTCATCAGATCTATTAGTTTCCGGAGAAAGAAAAAGTAATTAGTTTTTCCAGAAAATAGACGCAGAACATGGTTTTCTTTGGATCGGCGGTATCTCTTTTTCCTTGCGATTGCAATAGGAAACTTTGACTTTTTCCCGTTAATAATTTTGTCCACGGACTCATCTCCCGGCTTCCTTCACCTCGTTGTCCTCATTGCAGATCCTGCCCATATCTGTTGCAAATAGTAAGCATATTTTGATTTTGATAGTATTTCAAATGCCCTTCCTTAGTGGACTCATTTTGCGCTATTTAATGAGCAAAAGTTTTTGTGTGCGTGTGTTTTGGGGTTGAGGGGAACTTAAAATTTTTTTGTTAGGTTCAAATGTTTTTGAAACTTTTTTCAGCTTGAAGAATTTTTCCTCAGAACTTTCGCCAATGTTACTACTTGGTAAGTTTTCTTCCGATACTAATTTCGCATTCTTTTTGCCTGGGAATGATTTTTTGTCTTAAAACTATCTTTGCACTTTTTGATTTTGATAGGTCTGTTTGCATGTATACTTATATAGTTTCGATTACTAAATAGGGGCAGTACATGGTATTTTATCAAATTATTTTCGCTGAAATCTTTCGGTTGATTTTCAGGTCTTTGGCTGCCGCCTGTTATTGCGTCGGCTTCTTTGCCAAATATCATGTGTTCTGAAATTTTTCGATTTTTTTGAAACCTATGAGACCCTGGCGCCAATTTTTTGAATGCGCGAATCCAACGCCAATAGAAACTTTCTGAAATTCTTCGTTTTTCTTGATCATTTGTTTCAAATATAACTTAGTTGGAAGTCTTTTTGTGCTATTTGTTGAGCGTTATGCTGCTTAGACCTTGTGTTTGTTGCATCACAAGAGGCACGAAATTCGTCTTCGGCTCTGTGTAAAATGTACATTCAAACAAATCATCTTTTTACAGGGGAGATCTAGGACTTTCTGAAGGGGGTGGGGATGATTCTCAAAAAAAGTCGAGCTTTTTTTGGTCGAGCGAGGTCGTTTTTTTTTGGCTTGCCTCAATCACAATAAAGGCCCTATTTTGATTAAATAAGCTGCGCAGCAGGTAAATTTTGGATAAAAAAACGGGTCAAAATGGTATTTTAGGCACTTTTTTTGTGCCTAAAAGTGCTTTCAACTTTTTTGGTCAGACATTTAAAATGGATATCTCAAAATAAAACAAAGGGGGACCCTCTGAGTTCAGGAATTTTTTTTCTATTCGTATAGGATGAGTAATTGAAATTTCAAAAACAAAATATACAATTTGTAGTTTGTATAGGACAGTCAGCAAGCTAACGAGAGGATGGTTGAAGGCTGCCCCTCAAAAAATTAAAACCAATGACATCAATTCAAATAAGAAACTCAATAAAACGATCACAGAAGAATCTTTTTATAAACAAAATAACTTAGATATAGCGCGATCATTTTCAATTTAAACTATCTATCTCAAAATAACGCCAGTAGGTAGGAGGTGACTCGATCATATGCTTACTAAGAATATGAACCTATGAACTGGTCAGTCGTCTCTTTTTTGTTAACTTCACCTCTGTTTTTCTACTTCTTGGTCCCGTCGACGAGATTTACCTTTGCGATAAGCAAGGGTACTGCAATCTGGTACTAGAATTTGTACCCTTCAAAACTAGAAAGGGCAAATTTGGTTTAGATAAAAATGATTTCATTTTTTTGCATCTCCGGCACACCTGGTCTGGAAAGAACGAATGAGCCTGGGATGGTAAAGGCTCCCGATTCGAATCTGACAGGACCTGTTTTTTTTTCAAACAGGAAAAAATCCGTTTCAGAAAATTTTTGGTTCATGTTTTTTGTCTGATTATAGTTTTTCGGCTTAGTTGCTATATTATAAAATTATTTTAAAAATTGTTGCTTTCTTCCTGTTGTTTTATTTCTGTTTGATTTTCGCTTCTGTTGATTTTTTTTCGCTTTCCTGTTTTTCTTATGTTTTTTTCAAAGAACTGAATCTTGATTCTAGCTTATTGTCCAACACTTATGTCAAACAGATTCTCCGCTCGCTTTAGAGCGAAGCAGCTCAGCCCTCAACTTCTTCCTTTGTCACAGACAGCTCCACTTGAGGACTCGAAGAGATCAAAACCCACTTCGAAGACTCGAACTACAACTCTACAACCCAGAACAAAGCAAGACGAAGGAAAAACAAAAAAAATTTCCCCACCAAAGACGACCATGATAAAAATTGCGGTTTTTCCTTTGCCCAATTGCTTCGTTCTGGGTTTGAGAGTTGTAGTTCGAGTCTTCGAAGAGAGTCTCCGATTCCTGAGTTGTCGATCTCTCTGTGACAAAGCAAGAAGTTGAGGGCTGAGCTGCTTCGCTCTAAAGCGAGCTGGAAATCTGTTTGGCATAAGTGTTAGACACTGAGGGAGGATCAAGCTTCAGTTGTTTAAAACATTGCTTGGATAAAACACACTCTTTTTGTTTCTTTGCGTTTGGCTGTGTATCGTACAAAAAAGATTGAATTTCAACGTAAGTTCGTTTTCCTTGAAATAAAACATATTCATCAACGTCTAAATTCAAGGATTCATCGTTGAACAACTGTTTCAGCAATATTTATGCACTTTTCACTGTTGTAGCTTGCAATAGGTCTCGAATGGGTTGCATAACCTTGGGATACATTTCATCGGTTTTTCCATTAGTTTTTCATCTTCTTTTTCTATTGCCGTTAAAGTCGTGTGCTGTAGAAAATTGTCTGATTTATCATCTTCTTCTGCTTCATCATCACCATCTGCACTGAAATGAGTAAATGCACATACGTTTTTTTTCGAGGGTTTGGTACGACAATATTGGGGCTTTAAAAAGGAGTTGGGTTTTATGCTAGTAGATAGTCGCTGCTTGTATTTTGTTCTCGAAATCGCTGTTAATTTTAAGTTGAGACGATTTGCCATAGGTTGATGGACAATGAAGGTATTGAGAGGGCAGTTTTTTTCATCCGGAGCATATGTCTTGCGAGGAATAAGAAAAAAATCTTCAGCATAATTAATTAATGTTCTGGTTTTCAAAAAAAATGTTACACGAATTTCCGTTTACGCTTCGATGGCTAATCAGAGTCCTGAAAACAATTTAACACCAATAAACAAAATCAAAACTACTCTAAGGCGGACTGGAATATTAGATTGTCGAGGAAAATGAGA